CATTATGTGTTATTGATGATAATCCTGCCTGGACGATTCACTACTTACTAAAGGATAACCGATATATTATGTGTTATTGATGATAATCCTGCCTGGACGATACACTACTTACTAAAGGATAACCGGTATATTATGTGTTATTGATGATAATCCTGCCTGGACGATACACTACTTACTAAAGGATAACCGGTGCATTATGTGTTATTGATGATAATCCTGCCTGGACGATACACTACTTACTAAAGGATAACCGGTGCATTATGTGTTACGGAATGCATATTGAAAATATTCAAGTATATAGAATGAAAACTGTGTAAGTCCTACAGTTTGATTACGAGTTTTAGTCTTATTTATTGATATCGATAATCATAACTTATTTCCCTTACCTGAACTGGCTTGGTTCGTTAGTGTGTGGTGCTCGTAGTTTTGTCACAAGGACCCGGATGATATTACAGAGAAAGGCCAGGTTTAACTAGAAAAAAATTTTTTTTGTAAAATAATACTATTTCTAGTAGTACCAAAGTGTTGTAAATATAATAGTATCTATTACTTATCAAATGCTTGTTTAGAGTTATATTTTTTAAACGTGGCTAACGTTGATTAGGAAATAAGTTATCAGGATAAATTATGCAAAACCATTGTCACGTTTCTGAATACACGAATGCTATTTATAATGTAAAAATATTAAATGGCTCAAAAGGTAATTTGTAAACGTTACATTTGTTTTTATTTATTTCAGTCTATTTGTTACCATTAAGATAATTCTGTCTTCGCTATTGATTTAGAAGCAACCGAACATTTTAAAAGCTATTGCAACTTAATACAAGAAACAGCACATGAAGAAGACAACCATTTGATGAAACAGTCTACAGAAATACGACACTTTCAGTCACTTGAATTGTTTATGCCTCTCTTTAGGCCTACTTTGTGGTTACCAGAATAAATGAAATGTTTAATGTAACAAGCAGAAAACTTTTGAAATTCGAATAGCAACAAGGAACACAGAAAGTTGTTTATAATTAAGCACAAAGCTACACAATGGGCTATCTGTGCTCTGCCCACCACGGGTATCGAAACCCGGATTCTAGCGTTGCAACTCCGCAGACATATCTCTGTGCCACTGGGGGGCAACACAGAAAGGCAAATATGTTAGAAAATAAAGTAAAAATTGAAATATTTTAGCTGGAGAATGGAATGACTAGATAAATTAAAACCATTTATCGGGTTTTGAACTTTTTGCAGATGTTAGAGTAAAATTATTTCATTTGAGAGAAGAAAAAATTGCTAAAATGAATCATACGATGTAGATAACAGTGTTTTACTATTACTTATACATCTTTCTTGCATAAAACTGTTTTACTATAACAAGTGATTGGTTTGTTTTAGAGCAAAGCTACGTTTGACTACCTGCTGTGTCTACCGTCGGGAATCGAAACCCGGATTTTAGAGCTGTTCCACCGGAGGATCAAGTGATGGGTACCCTTCACTAACTTACAGGCAGTACCAATGAGAACAATGCTTCAGAGAATGCTGAAGTCTTATCTCTGGGTGTCCCGTTACACGTGTTGTTGATGTATTTACTTAAAATCGAACGTAAAGATATATGTTTAGGTATAAATTACTATTTACTTACTTTTGGTGCGCTTAATTACAGCTGTGTTTCTTAGCAGAGAACGAAAGAACGTTACGAATAGAGCTGACTTTATTAATTAGACATTTAGAACCACTCTTTAATGATATTTCTTCGTCTTTTTACTGACACAGTGCAGTTGGTCGGGTTTTTAACATAAAGCTGTACAATGGAATGAATATCTGCGCTCTGCTCACCGCAGAGCATCGAATTTTGGATTTTATCATTGTGAGTCTGGAAACTTATCGTTGACCCACCGGGAGTTTTATTAATACGAAAACAAAAAGTGACCTATAAAAATTAATTGAATATTGAACACAAACCTCCAATTACAAGAAGTGGTTTAATTGTGAATTATCAATATATTTATGTCTAACTCTATTAAAAAAAGTACAACTCGTATTTTTAACAACGTAATTATCAGAGAGTGAATATTTGATGAAGAATACTTTTATTTACGTTAATCGAGTATTTATTTAGATATGATTCTTACTGAAAAATTGTTGCTTGTTGAAACCGTTGCATGTTGTATAGTTTATTGCATACTTGCTTGCTACTTGTACAGTACAGCTTCAAAAACCTTACATATGTACAACTCAAATTCAGCTTTAATAACAAGAGTCACTTATTGCGGCCATTTTTTTATATGTCTAGGTTTAGTTACATTGAAGGATAATCAATTGTCTTTGTCCACGTGTTCATGACAGTTTTTAAAAACCTGTAGGATTAATCTTAATAATAATTGGTCAACCGAACGGTTAGTCATTAAAAACGAAATAAATAATGTTCTCAAGATGATAATAATCGCTTTCGTAAAATAATACTCTGATAAAACATGATGTAAAACGAGATTCAAAGATTAACTTACACAATACCGAAGGAAAGCAATTAATAAATATAATAACAAGCAAACAAACCAAAAGGACAAAGTTAGTTAAATTTATCTGTACACCGTTTTTCTTTATATGTATATTTTTATATAAGCTGAGAATCCTTTCTTTGCACGTTGTTAAACCTGACGAAAATCTATCGATATAATAGTACTATCTGTTGTATACCTATGTAACTACTTCGTAAGGTGATGGTGGATCTACACCAAATTTGGTATGGAGGTTCATTAAGTCCATGCGGGGGGTACATACAAATTTTCAGTTTTGTATTTTGCTGTTGTTATGGGCGTTTTTACCACAACTTCGGTCACTGTAGATGAATCTTCACCAAATTTAGTATGGAGGTTCACAGAGACCATGGAGAGATGCATAAAAATTCTCAGTTTTACGGTTTTTATTTTTGCGTAATTTACCACTACTAATTATGAAGGTTTGTTGGGTCCATGCAGAGATGCATGCAAACTTGCGTTTTCACATTTTGTGTTTTGCAGTTTTTATGGGCGTTTTTTTATTTGTATTTTTTTTTGCAATTACACATAAGGGAAGCAGCTTTTCGTGTCCTAAGATAACTTTTCGTTAATCACGAATTTACATAACTTTCGTCCAAAGGACGGGTACTTCAGGTAGTTTCATATAAGCATTATTCATTTTTCAAACTGTCAAATAGTAAAATACTTTGTTTAAAAGATGTTTTAGGAAGTGTGTAGTTTTGCATAGTTTACCGATCTTCACCACCAGTTCGGAAACAACATTTACACACCGACCTTAATTTGATGTCACGTTATACAAAACGAAGAAAATAACTTGGTATATTCATATAACAAAAGGCTGTTTTTATGTACCCCGTAAATAGTGTTTTACTTCTTTACAGTTTGCGATGAGTCAATTGTAGCGTACCGAAATTTCAATAATAAAATCCGGAGTTCGACTTCCCGCGATGGACAGAGCGCAAATAGTCAGTCTATCGTGTAGTTTTGCAACAACAAAACAACAACTATTTATGGTTAGTTTCATTGGTATTATTTAGTATATTGTTTATAAATATATATATATATTTTAATTTTTGTTTGTTTGTTTACATGAATACTATTTGTTACAATGGTTTGGGGCGCGGGTTGGCCCTTTTGTAGAGCTCTGAATCCGTGTGATGTTAGAAAATATTCGCCTCAATTTTAGCTGTGGCGACGTTATATGAATGATAGTCTCAATCCCTTAGCAAGGATGGTGGGTGGTAGGGTGCTGCTGGCTGGCTGCTCTCCTTCTGGTCAGTAGTTCAAAATTAGGGATGATGGCAGCTAGTCTTAGCAATATTGCCATGAATATAAACACGGATACAATGCTTATGAGAAATTTGATATTGAAAAATTACACTAATGACGATAATTTCGCGTTGTTGGCGTATTATATGGCTGATATAGGACTAATCAAAATTTCCTAAGCTGGCCGAACCTGGTGAGGCATTTGTGTAAATATAGACGAAAATATCTTTAATAGCAAAGGGTATCCAACCGATTATTAAACGAATACATCCAGTAGTTCTAGTGACTTTATTACACAAGACCAACTTCATTAATATATATAGTTCCTTTTGAGTTTTGATCTAGATAGCTTAGTTTTTCATCAGCTCTTGATAATTGTTAGTATTTCAGGTCCTTTTTACGTTGTGTTTACTTCTGATTCAAGAAGAAAACAAGCGAAACACTATCAATGCTGGATTTGAAGCTTTTTATGAACTGCAAAACCTTTTTTGTTTCTTTTTAATTTTCTTTAAAATTTACCTTGTTTTGTTGAGAAACTCCTTTAAAGCATAATGACATGAAGTTAATATACAATTTAACGAACGCATTCGTGGTGTATTAGCAAAAATAATATAATTACTTTAACTAACATATTATTAATTTTTAAATGCATATGCACCGTATTCAACTGTATTGATAGGGTATGAATATACATAGTTAGTGCGACAAATTACATGTATTTTGATCAGCAGAATCTGTATATTTTGTTTGTTTTAGAGTAAAGCCACATTGGGCTATCTGCTGTGTTCACCGCGGGGAATCGAACCCAGGAATTTAGCGTTGTAAGTCCGTAAACTTACCGCTGTCCCATCGGGGGAGAAGCAGAATCTAACAAAAATATATCTTACAACTTTTCAGATCTTTGTTTGTTTGTAATTAAGCACAAAGCTATACAATGGGCTATCCGTGCTCTGCCCACCACGGGTATCGAAACCCAGATTCTAGCGTTGTAAGTCCGCAGACATACCGCTGTGCCACTGGGGGGCAGCACAATCTACACTGTGAAATAAAAACATAACATAACAAACTGTATCATAACAATTTATTTTCCCTAACTATCTTTAAAGAAGATCTTTCAATAACATCCAAAAACGTTTCTATGTTGTTTTAACCTAAAGAGTTATGATATTTTAACCAAATCTATAAAAACTCACCAACAGACTTAGTAGATTTGGTGTATTCAAAATCCATTCGTACGTTTCTTCAGGTATGGCCCAGCAACTACGAAAACCATGTTTTCTTTTAAGTTACTTTCTTTTACGTTTATGATCTGATAAGTATGGTTAGACGACATTAATACCAAACTTTGTATGGTCTGGTTAATTGTAGCTAAATTATGTTTGTTAAAAGAAATTCATTTCGCGAACACACAATTGCCACAGTCAATTATTTCGTGTTTTTGTTGAGTCGAATTCGTATATTATTAGATTTTCACTTCTTTCCGAAATGACAAGATTTATTACATACACAGCTTAATGTATCTTTCTAGACCTCACTGATACATTTCATTATTGGGTTAAAGAAAGGCTTTACGGATCTCAGCACTTCTAATGGGTAATTTCATTATCCAGCTTTTGCTGGTAAACTTAACTCTAGTGATATTTGTTGATGTATTTCTTTTCTTTTTGTTCATACTGCACTAGTTACTTCGTGTTGTTGCTTTTACAAGCAGTACTTTACTAACGTGTTCAGATTCTGCTGGTGTTTGTATGAGTGGCACTTTTGTAATAAAACATTAACTGATGATATATTATACTTCCAGTTAATAATTATTCATTGTTGACGGCAACAATGGGTAATTGAACTGCGGACAGAGAGAGACGTATTGTTGAGCGAGCACGCGAGACGTTCGTTGTGAATTATAGCGTTTGTTATAGCGCGACTGTGGAAAATAAGTGTATTGCAAAGTTGTATTTAGAAAGAATAAACCAGTTTTATTTAAGAAAGGACTTGTGTCGCTAAAGTTTCGTCGGAAAGAAATTATACGGGAAAGTTAACTAACGAACGGAGACGTAACAATAAGAACAAGAACATTTCTCCGAATCCTGCTCGTAAACTTAGTCTGTGTTTGTTAGAAACAAGAACAGAGACATCTTTCCAGATCCTATTGGTTATCTTCGTCTGTGTTTCAAAAACAAGAAGAAAAACACCTCTCCAGATTCCGCTAATAAGCTTCGTTTGTATATTAGCAGCTATATTTCTCCATGTCTTACACGTAACCTTCGTCTGTATGTATTAAAAGCAAATATACATCACTCCAAGCCACGCTGGTAAGATTTGAATGTGTGTGTGTTAGATGCAATAATAGGTACAGATATATTGGTAAACTTCATCTGCGTGTCTTACAAACACACATAGAGCTATTTCTCCAGACCTACTGGTAAACTTCGTCTGCGTATCTTAGAAACACACATAGAGATATTTCTCCAGACCTACTGGTAAACTTCATCTGCGTGTCTTACAAACACACATAGAGATATTTCTCCAGACCAACTGGTAAACTTCGTCTGCGTGTCTTAGAAACACACATAGATATATTTCTCCAGACCTACTGGTAAACTTCGTCTGCGTGTCTTAGAAACACACATAGAGATATTTCTCCAGACCTACTGGTAAACTTCGTCTGCGTGTCTTACTTTTGAAGTATAAAAAAAGTGAGGTTTTCATTGTCTTATGTTGTTGTACCGGTTTGCATAGCATTATTAAATAGTAACCTTTAGGCTTCAGCAAGCGAGTGTGTATGTGATGGAGAAAAATTATTAATACCGTATTGTTGTAGTAGTTGTATTATTTTTTATGTTATGGGTGACAAAAATCAACTGTAACCAGAATTTACTGTAATATGATATTATATATATAATGAATCCACTTTCTTTATTGATATGTATTTTTTATCTACTTTGAGTTATAAATTAAAACTTAATTTTAACATATATAACTAATCATGGAGAAGTAAAATTAATTCAAAATGTTAACTGGTATTAAAATTCTGTACGTGAAACATGCATTATTATTATTTATTTGTTTACTTTCTCAAATTACTTGATCCTGTATACCTTACCTAGTCTATTTTTATTACTTGCATCCTTTTGGTTCAACCTGGAATAATTGATACCATATCACGTGGAAAGTTGTGATATTGTTTCATGAGATATGGAATCTGAAAAGATTCGTAAAATCTTGCTTATAACATAATAAAGCTTTCCAGTGTTATCTGAAATGGTGTCTCGAATTTGTTTCCAGTTTACCAGTAGGTCTGGAGAAATATCTCTATGTGTGTTTAGGACCTTTAGATAACATTTATACTCATAAATTTACATATAAAGACAACGGTTGGTACCTTCGTTTAAAAACTATATATATAGTTATTGTGAATATTTAAGTTTTATAAATTGCCCTTAATGTACTTTTCTCTACACCGAATCAAGTTTGTCTTTTATTTTGGCAGAAATTGTATAATTTTCACATCAAGTGATTGTAGGAAATATCACCCAACACTTATAAGTGTAAGTAAATAATATCTCTAAAGATTTTGTTCCATATCATTGTAGCAGCTTAAGCTGCATACTGTTTCATTCTTACATACCTTTCGTCCGCCAAGGTTTTGCGTATAACGGAATATATGCTTACTGGCAGTACAGGAAACACTATGAATAAGAAAAAATAAACTTCAGATTAACAGGTAAAAAAAAACACACAAAAAACTAAACTCCGTTGTTTTAAAATAACTTGTTTATTCCTATATTTTATATATAACATCATTATTTCAGTTAACTTAAACCAAGCAATCGTTCTTGTGTTTTCGTACTTTACTTCAGGACCAAAAAGATCATTTGGAAGCTTCGTAAGGCTTAGCTAACTACAAGTTATCTCTAGCTCCTCTCGTTTCCTTTCAAACTTTCTGACCAAGCCAAGCAACAATAGTAACAGCCAGACCACCTAAGCGACACACAGCGTAAAATATAGACAAAAGTATAGATATAACAAAGTTATTTAATGAAATGAAATTTGGTCATTTAGATATTATACTTTAAAATTCAGATAAAGAAGATCATGTCATTTTTTCTATACAACTTTTATGTCTTGTGAAACTTGACTAAAACGTTTAGCTATTAAATGAAAAAACAATTGGTTTCTTGTCTCAGGGTAGACGAAACTGTAAAAGGTCCTGTTAAATATCACTGTATAAAGAAAAAAATAACTTCAATCTTATGGTGTAAGCGCCGACGCTAGGGAAGCATTAACAACCAATAGCGTTAAACATTATCTTTTGTCTTTCATCGTTCAACTCAACTGACGAGTTCTTGGCAATGACTTATGAGCACAAAAGTAAAATCTAAAATGCTATTTTTCCTGCCTCTGATTTTGAAACCGAAGTGAACAAATTAAGATGAATGTTAGAACAGCCATCTACAGTTTACACGATTTTTATCATAAATCTTAGGCCTATTAGTTTCCAACGCTAGAATCCGGGTTTCGATACCCGTGGTGGGCAGAGCACAGATAGCCCATTGTGTAGCTTTGTGTTTAATTACAAACAAACAAACCTTCACTGCTAAATTAGGGACGGCTACCTGGAGTGGAGATGGGCGCCACCTGGTATATCTGACCGAGAATCACCGATGATGCATTATAATTTAAGATGCTCCAACGGTTGTAAGCTGCCGCGGAACTCAATAAAAAAATATAAAAAATTATAAAGAACTCAGATTTAAATATTAAGAATATAATTGAATATAAGATAAAACGCACGTACAAGAATGTGTTTTATAGTATTTTTAAGATAAAAATTCAAAAAATAAAAAAATCGGAAATAATTAAATTAATGACAACGAGGACGAGTTGACGAGTAATCTGTTGTTATGGGGTCGAGAGTATTAAAGTTTTCCAGAAGGATAGGGGGTTTACTGTTCTCACTATGTGATCAGATACAAGATTCAGGTAAACTAGTTAGATTATATCAGCTTCTAGCTGAAATTCCCAAGTGGTCATATTGTGTGTTTGTAGAGCTTTACCAATATATATAATATCTTTTACAGCTACCACAAATGTATTTATAGTCGACTCAGGAGCGCATAGGGATGGGTAATGTTTTTAGTTTCAAACACGTTTTTAATTCTAAATAGTGACTTCCATAATAAACGTAGCTTACTTTGTGGGTAATATGTTCTGATTATTATTTTTTTAATTTGATATTTGAGTTTAAAATTTCTTTGCCCATGAAAGGAATGATAAGAACTAGTGGATATTTTGAGCCACTCGGTAAGTTCTATTATATTTGTTAAAAACTTTCGTGTGATAGAGTTGACGAAGTTAATGGGATAACCGTTATTTTATAACATGTTACGAATTTTGGAAATTTCAGAGTGAAGACAGAAGTAGTCAGAACGTATGTCACACGCTCTGTTTAGAAGATTAAGGGATAAGGTTAATTTAAAGGAGTCTGGTATGAAACTGTTGAAACGGGTGTGTAAGGCAATAAAGGTTTCCAGATGTAGCAAAGACAGCGTTCATTTTGTTTACTTAGACATTTAAAAAAAGCTAAGTTATTGTTTTCTTCCATTGATGTTGTGAGTTTGAGTATTCTAGAAACTTCTTGGCGCGGTCGGCGTTGTGAAAAAGTATAATCAATGTATCTTCTATATAACATTGGTTTGTAAAAGAGAGGGGGGGGGTATTCTTTCATCTACTAACATTAATAACAACAGAGAAAAATATTCGCCACACTGTCTACCTAGTCGTGAAGTTCGAAAACAAAGTGACTGTCCCGGAGGGCTAATTTAGGAAGATGTTTGAATATTTATCGGTTAAAGCTAAGTACGTTTGTTTTGAAATTCACGCGAAGCTACACGAAGACTATCTGCGCTAGTCATTCCTAATTTAGTAGTGATAGACTAGAGGGAAGTCAGCTAGTCACTACTACCCACCGCTAACCCTTGGGCTACTCTTTTACTAAGGAATAGTGGGATTGACTGTCACATTATAACGTCCCCACGGCTAAAAGGGCGAGCATGTTCGGTGCGATGTGGTTTCGAACCCGCGACTCTCAGGTTGCGAGTCGAGCACTCTAACCACCAGTCCATGCTAGGCCGGTTAAAGTTAAGAGTCATCTTTGTTTGGGGATAACTGTTTAATAACTATTTGGATTGTTTCCTCGTGTGGGATGTTAGTGAATAAGAACTGAATCTGTTTTGTTGAAGTTAGAATATTGTGAATTATCTTTCTGAGGGCTTTTTTACGCTAAAACTCAGATTTCGATACACGCGGTGAGCAGAGCACAGGTAGCCAGTCCAGTCTGTTGTATAGCATTGCACTTAACAACAAACAAACAAAACCACCCGATAGGTCAGTTGCAAACCAAGAACAATACTGAAAGAAAAATATTATTGGAGAAGTTATGATAGAATCAAGATTTTTTGTTGTTGCAAAACTAAGCAAGTAAACATGTAAACCACTTAATGAATTAGACTGGTATATTTTATTTTAAATTTTTACTGAGTTACTCCATTTTGAATTTATAACTATGTCAGTTTTTGTGCGCATGTGTAATCATAAGTTTAACTGTCCAACAAACATTTAATGCTATCGATTGTATTTACGCACAAAACCTTATTTCATAAATGCCTAAAATTTGATGAAAAGGACTATAGAAATTTTATTATCACTACACTCCAGTCAGTTCATTACAGATTTTAAATCAAAAGTAAGTAAACATACAATTTAGATCCTTTATATTTTTTTAAATAATCATTTTGGTTTTATTCTTCTTTTTTTAACTATCATTATACTTATGAGCAACAGTTATTTGATGTTTGTATTTGGAATAATGTAAACCACCGATGGGTGTATTAGGCAGCTCAGGGAACTGATGGAATATTTATAACAAACACGAATGCAGAAAGAAAACAATGTGATGAAAGTGAACTGGTTGAACGAGATGAAAGCTGAGTCCTCAACAGATACGTGCTGCATCAAGTCAGGTCGTTTACTCTTAGGGGTGACATTTCACTCGGAAGTAACACGAAACCAAGCGGTTTCGCATAGAACCTCGTATATGTAAAACAACCTTCAAAATCAGGCCTCTACTGATACTGATTTTCTTTCAACGACATCCTTGAGACCCCTCAAATGTTACATATATCACCTGTTTCTGTCACTATTTACATTTCATTTGAAGACTAGTGCGTATTTTTTAACACTACTTAACTATCAGAAGTTAAAGGTAAATGTCTCTTAAAAACATTACAACTTACAGGAAGGTGTGGCTTAAAATGTCTTAAAACATCAGAAATTACAGGCAAGTGTATCTTACAACAATAGAAATTACAGGCAAGTGTATCTTAAAACAATAGAAATTACAGGCAAGTGTATCTTACAACAATATAAATTACAGGCAAGTGTATCTTAAAACAATAGAAATTACAGGCAACTGTATCTTAAAACAATAGAAATTACAGAAAGGTTCATCTTAAAACATCAGGAATTACAGGCAAGTGTATCTTACAACAATATAAATTACAGAAAGGTTTATCTTAAAATAATACAACTTTCAGGAAAGTATTCTTAAAACACCAGAAATTACAGGCAAGTGTATCTTAAAATAATAGAAATTACAGAAAGGTTCATTTTAAAACATCAGAAATTACAGGCAAGTGTATCTTAAAACAAAGAAATTACAGAAAGGTTCATTTTAAAACATCAGAAAGTACAGAAAGGTTCATTTTAAAACATCAGAAATTACAGGCAAGTGTATCTTACAACAAAGAAATTACAGAAAGGCTCATTTTAAAACATCAGAAAGTACAGAAAGGTTCATTTTAAAACATCAGAAATTACAGGCAAGTGTATCTTACAACAATAGAAATTACAGAAAGGTGCATTTTAACACATCAGAACATACAGGAAAGTGTGTCTTTAAAACATTGGAACTTACAGGTAAGTATGTCTTAAAACATCAGAAATTACAGCCAAGTGTGTTTTAAACCACCAGAACATACAATAATTCGTGTATTAAACAATAACAACATCAGAACTTAAGGAATGTGTGTTTTAAGGCAAATACAGTTATGGATTATCACGTGAAATATTGAGCAACAAAAATCACGCTGTTTCATAAGTCAGTTTCTATTATCAATATTTCACGAACATTTGGTGATCACCTTAATTCTAAATACTAAATGTACTTCGGCAGTGTCCCCGAAAGTGTTCTGTTTCAAGAGTGAATAAAACCAAAA